CCTACAATATGTTTCAAAGCACTTCTTAATCTTCCCTCATTTGATCCTCACAATAACTTTGTAAACTAGGTATTTATCCTCACATAATGAAAAAGGATACTGAAAGCAAGATTAAAACTCTGGCCTCCTGACTTTTTTTCCAGGACCTTTTTCATTACAATAATCCTCATTCTGAAAAAAGCATTAAAAATGCTTTACATAAAATTCATTACATTACACAAAATTTAAAGGGAAAAATAATCACTGAAAGACCCTAGCACAAGCATTGTTATTTTGGTGTGTTTTCCTTTTATTTTCCTATACTTAAATAAATGCATTTGAATGTATACTTCATAAATATTTAGAACAATATTTTATACTTTGCTAGAACGTTGTCAGTTTGCGTGGCTTTGAAGTAATTATAATACCGTTACATGAGACTATTCTGTAATAATGCATGCCTCTCCAAAGTATGCTGTGTTGTAGCAGTCACTCAATAGGGCACAATCTAGGAAGAAACTAGACAAGGAAACAGGACCCAGAAGTAAAATGTTAAATTCTATAATTTTAGAGTTGGAAAAGACCTTACCATTTTGTTCACATTAGAACTGGGAAAATGAGATCTTCATAAATTAAGTAATTTGCCCCATATCAAGTAGAGAATGTTAAGATAGGACCAGAATCATTTTTAACTCCTACTGTGGTGGTCTTCCCACTGTACCATTATTCATTGAGTATCCACGTGCCTAACTGCATGTGGAACCAAGAGGGATACAAAATAAAACATGGCCTCTGTTCTTGGGTAGCCTAATTTTCAGACCAGTTTCAAGATTTTACAGTAAATATTGGCTAAGCAACACAAAACTACATAGCTCAATGAGGTTTTATCAGATATTTTATTTGAAATGTGACCTGGCGATCTTTGAGAACATTACAGCTCACTGCATTTGAGGCTTCTCTGATTTGGGCTGTATCTATCTGCCTTTAATGGGTCACTGGTCTTACCAGTGAAATAATTGTTTTGTTTTGAAGAGCCAGTTGAATTGGCCAAGTTGACAAAAGTCACTGTATATGTGTGTGTGTATTTATACAGATGATTGTGGCCAGAATTAAAGTAAGTGGAGCAGAGCCAGAACAGGAAGAATAACGCCCTGGAAAGTGACAGATGACTCCTTTTGCCAGATACATAAATAGCAGCTCCAGGTCCTTCATGCAAGGGATGATACACTCCGGCCTATGATAGTGCTTATGAAGTAGAAGTCTTTCAAGGAACCATGATACAAGCTGAACAGAGATCCTCTCCATGCTGGTAGTACCACAAATGCCACACTGCCCCACTGTTTCTCCACTCTCAATGAATCTACCAGGCCCACAGATGCTGGTGCAGGAACCATACGAGCTTCACTCCTAACTCCAGCTGATGAACCAGGATGAGTATGTAACCCAAGGGAGTCCAATCCAAGGGTTTGCTGGAAACCTCTATGGCCTAGTATAGAAAGAGGAGCTGGGCCAGATTCCCCACTGTACAGTCTCAACTAAGACAAACCAAGAGAATCAGAGCCACATGGTGTCATGGCACACAGAAACTTATGGGAACTGGGAGGCACAGAAAAGAAAGAAAGAACAGGCGAAACTGAAGCAAAAGAAAATGATGGGCAAAAAGCTGAGACATCCAGCAATCGTGCTTCTGCAGAGCAGCCTCCAATCTTGACACATTTCACTTCAAATGCAGCCCAGCCTTATGATCCCCCTCTTCAAGGTCCTGTAAAATCTCCTGATAGCTACCATACTGAACACCTTCTATATATGGGGCTCTGTGCGAAAGAAAGTTTACCTAGGTTTTCTCGTAAGCCGTAACACCTCTGAGACATAGGTATCATTATCCATATTTTACAGGTAAGGAAACTAAGGATCAAGATGGTTAAATAGTATGAGTTACATTGTTTATGATGATGTTAGGACTTGAATCCAGGTCTGACTCCACTGTTTGCTCTTTCTTAACCATTAAATTGTACTAACCCATATGATGTTAAGGCCCTACGCACTTCTTGTCCCCACCCCATCCTCCCACCCATTTGACCTAATTTGAGAATCTAAATGCTTGTAAGAGCCTGAAACTTGCCAAAACAAATGGCCTCTGGGTATAAACCTTGCAAGAAGGGACCATTTCTTTGCTACAGATAACCAGAGTGAAGAGAACAGGGTCAGAAGTATCTATCAAGCACACACAGCAGACATATCTGATGACATCAGAGGTCCTTGCATATGAGTGTTTTCTGAGAGGAAGACTTGCTTTACTCATTGCTACTGAGCAGTCCTCAGGCAGCTGCTGAGGATGGTTTTGTTGCCTAAGAAGTTAAGACATGAAGGGTGGGGGTAGGGATGTCCTGCCCCTCCTCAGAGGAAATCTGAGCAGAAACGGGATTTCCATCCCATTTGGAATGAATAAATAAAGGAACTCGGGTCTTTCTTTTTTTTTTTTTTTTAAATCAATGAGGCTTTTGTGGACTGAGACAGTGAACACTGGTTATTGCCTAACAAGCCACAGGGTCTGGTCCTGGTTGAGACAGGCATGGACACCCATCTCTCAAAAATGCTCCCAAAAGAAACCAAGCAGAGCCCCCCAACAGTTCTAGAGTCTGTAGAACTCTACAGACTTTATTAATGGAGAGGGAGGTTATATAGAGTGCCGCACTAGCGAGGGTGCAGTTATTTCCAATATCAAACATCCAGCAGAAAAGGATCAGCTTTTTTTTTTCTTTCACTTTCTAGACAATCAACTTCCATTTATTTTCACATCTGTGACTGAACCAGATGTCCATCCAGTGGTGACAACTAAGAACCTAGTAAGCAAAAAGTGAATCTGGGTATAGTCAATACTTGGATCCACTCCAAGCAGATGATGCCTATCCAGAGAGCGAACAGAGAAGAGCACATTGCTGGGGTTTCCTCTCTCCTATCTTGTCTGGTCATGACGACCAGTCCTCCAGTACTTCTTTAACCGCAGATAAATGCATGATTTCTCTCACGAGCACATGACAGGCAGTTTCTTTTCCACACACTGAAGCCTTTCTGTTGGACTTTATCTTTTCCTTTGATCCATTTTACTTATCCATTTTTGAATCTTAAGCAAACAACTCTCTTTAGAGCTGACCTGAGTCCTGCCTGTTAGGAAATTGGCAGAGGTAATGGAGAACAGAATGTGCAATAGCTGGACTCTCCTCTCACTAGGGCTGAGGACGAGGGTAACACCTACTTCTATCTTTTGGAGTGGCCTTACACATTTCCTTTCACTCAGCTTTATGGCTTTTGCTTCATTGGTATTGAACTGTGTTCACTTTTTTGCCAAAGTTTAGGTCCCTGCTGGCTACAGTTCCTTGCAGAAGGGACTATGGGATTTATCTGCAGCATTTTAATCCACAAGTTGCTTTTATTAAAAAGCTCTGTGTCCTTGGTAAATCTCTGAGTAAAATAGAATTTCAGATGTTATCTAGTCCCACATCACACCTTGTATAGAAATCTGTTCTCCAGCACAACCTGGTAAATGCTTGAATCCATCCAGAAAAGGGAGCTCACCAACTAAAGATAGTACTTTGACACTTCTTTTTCATTGGGGAAATCAAGGTACAAACCAGAGCTGAATCTCATACTCAGGCTCCTGGAGGGTCACCAATGAAGCCAGAAGCCCCAAATGTTCCCATGGTATGGGTCCAGATTTTGGCCAGAAAGCTCCTAATGTCAATATGCTGGGGTTCTGCCCATCGTGCCTTGGTCTATGCCCTTGGGCTTCTTCATCATGTACAGACTGTAAGTTATGACAACAGACTAAGTCTCACACACATTTCTTATGTGTCCCATGGCCCCTGGTATTGTGAATGTCATGGAGCAGATGTTCTATAAATGTGATTATCCTCAAGAGCAGCATGTTCAGACACTGCCTTCCCAGGAGCAAAGCTAGCTAGGCTAATGCCTTTTCCTAGTGTAGTCATGCATAATCAGGCAGAGTAAAGATTGGGCTAGACGATAAGGAAAATTGGGTCCTTTCCTTATCAGTTGATCAAGCAAATGTCCCCAAAGAATGCAGGAACAAACAACTTTTCTGCCCAAGATGTAGGGCTTCTGCATTCTCTGACTTCTACCTCATGCTCCAAGCAAGCGTAAAACAACAAATCAAGCTGATTTCAGTCAAGTTTCAGCAAGAATTTCTCTGCTTTGATTTTGCTGTCTTATTTGGTTTTGCCTGGACAGAAGCCCACAACAGACAGGATTTTGGCAGGAGAATAAATGTATCACAACATTTTCTTTTCTTTTTAATTTCTAGAGGCTCACATTTTTCCTTTCAACGGCCTCATTTTGCAGATGGAAATCTGAGATCTGTAAAGGAAAAGGAACTTATACCCAGTTGCAAAGACACGTAGGAGAAGAACCAGGCTCAGATGCTCTCAGGTGATTGAGTGACTCCAAGAAAAGAACACATGGTAGTCAAAGTCCCTAAAAGCAAAAGAAGCAGAAACAGGCTGTCCGACTATGCATAGTGCTTAGCTCTCAGTGATCTGTCCATTGCCAATGGGTACAGCCAGATGGGGTGAGCATACACTCTGAGGGCTCCAGAAAGCAGCATGAGAACACTGTCAACATCTCACTACCGAGGAACTGACAGCCAAGAGCTCACTGGCACTTTCTGCAACTCCATAATGCCATGGAAAGTGTTGCTGACAATTGTCAAGAATAGCAGACATCAGGAATGGAAAAGCCAGCTTACTGGCTTGGAAAAGATAAGGAAGAATTATACGTAAATGACTGTAAAAACATGGTTCAGACACAAATTTTAGGTTGTTCTGTCATTGTTATGCCAGCTGTTTCTCTGGAATCTCTAGCTTTCAAAGCTGGGGATAAGAATACTGCTCCCAATTTTTAAACCAGGACCTTGGCAAAGGCTCCTGGCAGTTTAAATGCCAGTAAGAGCCTGAACACTTCAAATCAACACTTTTTTCTCTAGTAAAAGTTAAGACCTGTTCTCCCAGATTTCTTATTCACCCAATATTAAACAAAATGTATTAGAAGAATCAATCTAGGAAACCAAGGAAGGCAGTCTTAAGTTATCATGTTTCAGGGAAAGGCAGCTACATAAGCATGTGAACAGACCTTAGCCGGATTCGAAAGAGGCGGCAGTAACGTAAACAGTGGCGTAAGCACTTTCAACAACCATCTTACCTATCAAAGAATTAATGAAAGGCTTTAGTTAAACATTCTCATGCCTCATGATGGGCTTCAAGCTTTGGAGACTCTTCCCATGTACCCGTCTCTACCTAGAGACACAATCTATAAACAATCCATTATCCTGTGATAACAGGATAACTGAAGGTCAAATCTTGCTTTCCAACCTCTCTGCAATATATAACCTGTGCTTTTGTAGTACCATCGAAAAGATGGGGATGCTGGGCTCCTTTCCAGTTCTTTCTGGGTTTCAAAATGTGGTATTCTTGTAATGTCATTAAGTTCTGAAACACAAGCATGTCTTTGGTCAAGTGCATAGGACCCCGAATTGACGTGCCACACAGTAATTACTGGGGGGCAGAGGGGCTCGTGGGCTCTCTTGGATGTTCTGCCCTGCTGTAGGTACAGATAGATATGAGGCCAGAGATTTACAAAACTCCCCCTCCACTCCCTTCCCCATACCACTGGTTGTTCTCTAGACCTTCAGTGTTAACACCTAAACCAGAAGTTTCGAGCCCAGTTAAGAGGGGGCCTGGTGGGTCAGGTGGCTGTCTGGATGGGTCACTATCACCTCCACAGCCTCCACTGTGGCCCGAACGCAGGTGGTCCTTGAGCGTCTGTTTGTAGCGGAAGCTTCTGCCGCAGAAAGAGCAGGGGTAGGGCCGCTCCCCGGTATGGATGCGCTGGTGTTTCATGAGGTGGTGCTTGCGGATGAAGCTCTTGCCACAGTGTGGGCAGCTGAAGGGCCGCTCACCCGTGTGCAGCCGCCGGTGGTTCAGCAGGTGCTCCTTGCGCATGAAGCTCTTACTGCAGTCCGTGCATGGGTAAGGACGCTCGCCTGTGTGGATCATCTGGTGGCGGATGAGGGCTGAGTGGCCGTTGAAGTCGATGCCACACTGAGGGCAGGAGAAAGGCCGCTCCTGCGCATGCCCCCGCTGGTGGAGCAGGAGGCTGATCTTCAGGCTGAAGCTCCTGCCGCACTGGGAACAGCGGAAGGGCCTCTCGCTTGCATGAGCTCGCCGGTGACTGGTGAGTCGAGCCTGGTCGGCAAAGCGCTTGGGACAGTCAGGACAGGGGAAAGGGCGCTCAGTGCTGTTATGAACCCGCAGATGGTAGGTGAGTCTTGACGGGTGAGTAAAAGTCCTGGCACAGTGGGGGCAGGTGGGGGGTGTCTCACTGGCATGGTCCTGGGAGGTGCTGCTGAGGTTGGCCTGTGGAGGAAAGTGCTTAGGACACTGGGTACAGGGTATGGGGTGTTCACCTGTGTGGCTACATTGGTGGGTAAGCAACACGTCTTGGCTGAGACTCTTGCCACAGTGGTGGCATGAGAACACTTGCTCCCCAACTGGAGGTGGAAGTGGGTAGCTACCCAATTGAGTAAGAGTCACTTGTCCCTCAGAGGCTTCAGGCAGGTCAGTGGCTGGACGTCCAAAAGGTGTCATGGATGCAGACTGCTGGCTCTTGAAAGCCACATCTGAAAAAGTGTTCTTTGCTGCTGCTGCTGCTGCTGCTGTTGGAGATGAGAAGGTGACTGGAACCTCGGGACACAATGAGGCTCTAGCAAGGCCTTCAGCTTTGATGACAAGCTCTTCATCTGAAAGAAAGGACTCAAGAGTTAAACCTATCAACAACTGTCTCTCTAGCAACTACTCCCATGTACTCCTACCAAGCTGACAGATCGCTGGAAGCCCTTAATTGGCTCAGGTAAGAAACTCAGGTGTCTGCAGTCCCTGTGGCAAATCGCAGAGAATTTTCTAGTGTACCTCTCATGCTCCCTGTTTGGAAAAGGAAAAACCTTGTCATTCCTTTTCTCAACACCACTGTCATTATGTCTCACCTCTGCTCAAAAACGTTCTCTGTTCCCTGTTGTGACAAAGCCTAAACATATTTATCTGCTCTTATTTCACCCTATTCTACCAGATAAATCCTTCACTATAGTCAGCAGTCTCTTTACTGTCCCTGAAAATAAAGTACACATTTCTGCTTCTGCATCTCTGCTCATTCTGTCCTCCCTTTTGTAGAATAACTCCCTTATCTCCCATCTTACCAAATTATACCCAGCCATATCACACCAATCTTCGGAGGCCCAATTTTGGCTTCACATCTTTCTTTAGGTATGATCTAAATACCTAAACTAAAACTGCATGCTGCTCAAACTTCGCATTCCTTTTATATGTCATCCATCCCACTCACCCTTGACACTTAACAAGAGGCATGCCTAGTGTTGATATGTCTCCAATGGACGTCTCCTGAAGAGCAGAAACTGTCTTATTTTTCATTTGTATTTCCCAGAGTCTACAAGAACACAGGGCATAGATTATTAAGAAACAGACTGCTGGGCCGGCCCAGTGGCTCACTCGGGAGAGTGCGGTGCTGATAACACCAAGGCCCTGGGTTCGGATCCCATATAGGGATGGCCAGTTCGCTCACTGGGTGAGTGTGGTGCTGACAACACCAAGTCAAGGGTTAAGATCCCCTTACCGGTCATCTTTTTTTTAAAAAAAAAAAAAAGAAACAACTGCATTAAGTTGTATAAAGGATTGAGTCCCTTCTGACCTTCAGATTCTCTTCTATAATTTAAATGGCAAAATACAGATGGTGCTGAGTATCTCAGAAGGAAGATACTTCTGTTTCTTCTCCTGTCATCATTTTTTCTTTCACTGAGGGAGAGCTCTAACATTCCCATTCGTGCCTCTCTGGTGACATCTTTGTCTTCACTGCTTGTCTCCCCCTACCCCCACTACTCCCCAATTATTTTCTATCCTTTCTACATGATCTTCAAATGTTCATCTGTCTTTCTCCATCTCATACTTTCAGCCAATCTGTATGCACTTATTTTTCTTTCCTTTGACCATTCTAATTTGTCTTTGTGCTTGAGTGTGCTTTCTCACTTAAAATTTATCTTAGTGAACTTTTGCTTTCATTTCTAACTTATTTGAGCATGTCTTTATTTCTTTTTCTCATTGTTTTCCCACTTCCATGCCTCTACAACCCCATGTCATCCTGGGTTTCTTCACCCATCCTGGCATGAGTGGGATTTGGACATGAACCTCTCTTTGGTTTATCACTCACCAGCATAGGTGCTTTTGTATATATCACTCTCCTTGGACTCCTGTGGGACCCCAACTTGAGGCTCTTCCTCTTGTTTAATCCAAGACAGAATATCTGATGTTGAAATACCAGGCTCTATTTGTAGGGGGAAAAAGAGAATGGGCTTCAGGGACTTGGATCAAAAGGTAAAATAATCATGTAGGTTTGTTAAACACTACATTTTGCTCAAATATTTGTTTCTAACTAACTGTAACAACTAAACTGAACCAGCCTTTTAAAAAATACATACAAATTCTAGAGAACCCATTCAAAATGAAACCAAATTTACATATTTTTATGTGATAATATACTCAACTTGATTCTCTATTTTCAATGAGCCCATTTAAAAACAAATTACAATTTTTATTTGAGAGATAACACCCTGAAATAATCTAGAATCAATAGTACCTTTCACTCTGTTAGCACTCTTACATTCAAAATATTTTCATTTTTTTCTCTCACTGCTTGTTTATAAAATAATGAAACGGGGAATATTTTCTCTAAGTAGAGAGGTCCACACAGGTTAAATAAACTGCTAATAAGGAAGCATTGACAGTGAAATGCCAAATTATCAAAGATTTGTTTTAAAATACACCAGAAAGGGCCGGCCCGGTGGCGCACTGCTACAGTGCGCCACTTGGGAGCGCAGTGGCGCTCCCGCCGAGGGTTCGGATCCCACATACAGACCGGTTCCCGCTCACTGGCTGAGCAAGGGGCGGGAGCAACACCGAGGGTTGCGATCCCGTTGCCGGTCCCAGTCCAGTACGGGCGCAACACTGAGGGTTGCGGTCCATTGCCGGACACGAAAAAAGACAAAGAGGAAAAAAAAAAATACACCAGAAAAAAAAAGCAAAACAAACAAGACTGACCAAAAGAGTTTTTTGTTTTCTTAAATGCCAATTAAAAAACAGATACATTTCCAGAATTACAAAGTAAGGTCAGTTTAAATACAGAATCTTACTCTTCAGAAACATACCTTTCAGATTCCCAATTCTGGGCTCTTTCCAAGAGAGCATATTGCCTTTGCCTATTAAATGATGCAGGTCATTGTTTCCTGAACCCTGGGTGGGGCAAGAATAGTATGCACAAGTTCTTCAGGTCAAGATGGATCTTAACCCTTGATTTGGAGTTGTCAGCACCATGTTCTCCCAAGTAAGCTAATCAGCCATCCCGATATAGGGATCCAAACCCATGGCCTTGGTGTTATCAGTAACATACTCTCCCAGTGAGCTATGGGACAGCCCTTTTCAGGTCTTGGGGATTTTTTTTAAAGAAAAAAAAGCATAACCTCCAAAGGTTTTACAAACAACATGTATCACTTGGTCAGAAACAGCTGTGCTTGCTATTCCAATCTAGGCCGATATGGCTTTTTTTGGCCTAGAAGGATAAGCTGGCAAGCTGACAAAGTCCACAGAATAAATTTAAGCTCTCTATAGTTATTTCTCAAAAAAACCTTGTAGGCAGGTTATGGTTTTATTCCTAGCAAATGAACAGAACTCATTGTTTTGCCCAGTGCCTTTTAAATCAGAGACCACAGAAACCTAAAGGTGTGCCCGAAGCAGAATTAGGAGGGTGGATAAGACTAAAGCCCAAAAGACTGTCAGATTCTGTGGACAGAGAGGGAAAATACGGATTTCATCACATGTGGAGGTTGCCTTTCCAACTTTGTATTTTGAGCTACAAGCAAGGCTGAAGTGTCCTAAACACGGTGCAACCTTATCTTTGTTCTCTTCCAGATTTTATACACACACGTATGTATAAAGAAAAAGAGGGGAAAGACTGAGTATAAGGAAGAGGATCTCTTAACAGACATACAGAGGATAAACTTTCTGTTCATCAAAAATATGACCTTTAAAATACTTCCCTGCTTCTATTTAACAAACTCTGAATGAGTTAGTGCTCTAGAAACCTCCAATGTGATTCAAGTTTTTTGACTTTTTGTTCTTGTTGATCATTGTGAATCCATAGAATATTACATTTTCATTTGTTACAATCCATTACAGTCATTGTTCTTTTTAATGCTTAAATTGTCCCTTCTCTGGCCAGTGGAAACCCCTGCAGATCAGCTCCATGCCCTTTTCACACAACCCCAGACATCTAGTTTCCTTCATTTCTGGTACGACAAACCATCCAAGGCTCATCTTGTACATTTCCTGCCCTAGGCTCACATTCAATAATCTGAGAAATGGGATTTATGATCAGGCTGCTAATCTCTAATGAGTTAACCTTGCTTTTAGGTCTTTTCAATGGACAAAGCTTATAGAAAAAGGGAAGTGTCATGAGTTTATATTAATATTTCTGATTCATATTTAAGATTACAGGGTTTAAATTAAATCCTTTTATTTTACAGTTGTATCTTTTCTCTTTCCCTGAAATCTTGGTTTCTAATAACATTAACATAATCTTTGCTTTCTGTGAATACATGTTTCAAAATAATATCGATATTATTAGCAAAAATATGAACTGAAAGATTTTTCTATGGTTCTTTGGTCTTTAGGATATATCCCACTAGGGATATATGGTTAAAATATTATGTTTTAAAGTCATTCAAATAAGCCTTCTTTATATATTTATGTCACTAACCGGATACACAGTTTAGTTGTTTCAGTATGTGTTTGGTTTTTTTCAATCTAAATTTTTTTTAATTATGTAAAATATTTATAGGCTTCCAAAATCAAAACTATAAAAATAAGGTACATTCAGAGAGTCTAGCTTCCATTTATTCACTCCTCTCCCTGTATAGATAACTATTCCTACTGTTTTTTTTTTTGAAAAGATGACTGGTAAGGGGATCTCAACCCTTGGCTTGGTGTTGTCAGCACCACGCTCAGCCAGTGAGCGAACCGGCCATCCCTATATAGGATCCGAACCCGTGGCCTTGGTGTTATCAGCACCGCACTCTCCCGAGTGAGCCACGGGCCGGCCCATTCCTACTGGTTTTTGTTTTAATCTCCATTGTTTCTTTTTGAAAATATAAGCAACTATGTACATACAGTTATATTTTCTCTCTTTAACATAATGTGGCATATTACACAAACTATTCCTTTTTTTTTAAAAAAAGATGACTGGTAAGGGGATCTTAACCCCTGATTTGGTGTTATCAGCACCACACTCTCCTGAGTGAGCCATGGGCCGGCCCCTCTACACAAACTATTCTATACCTTGATTTTTCACTTACTATATTCTGGAGATCTCTCTATAGCAGTACATAGAGATCTTTCTCATTCCTTTTCATAGCTGTACTATGTAGCTGTTCCACTGTTTATTCAAGAGTCCTCAACTGATGGGCATTTGAATTCTTTCCAGTCTTTTGATACAATATTTGTTAGCAGCCAACCATAAAAGCTATGGAAAGCTAAAAAATAAAACAAACCAGTTCTCCAGAAATGTGAGCAGCTGTTGTTACTAGAATCCACTGGCTAAGTATGTCTTCACTGAACTTGGGAAAACCCAAGAAGCTAACCCTTCTTGAACGGTGATCCTAAAAGTCTAAAAGTTCCTCTGGATTATTTAACTAGATTGATACAACTAAATAAACATTGATTTTATTAAATAATTGGTTCTCAAATCACTACTATCATAGGATGCATAGAATAATGTACTGTCTGCTACAGTTTGGTGAGAGTGGTGGAAATGTATAACATGAACACCCTGTGGAAGTGAAATAAAAGGAGCAGGAGAACTCCAGCACCAGGATGACCTAATACAGACACCTATTTGGTGATAGCATGGCAACTGCTGGCCAGGTCACCACAATGGCACTCAAAACATAGTCCTCACAGGCCAGAGGACTCCCAACAAATAAAGAGACACAAAATGAAAAATCATTGGTTTATGCAAGCAGCATGCTTTGGAGAAAGCCAGAGAATAAAGAAAAGTGGAATACTGATCAGGAATGAGAAACTGGATAAATGCTAAGGTTTTAAGTTTGAGAGTGGTTAAAAATAGAAAGGCTGATCACAAGAAAATATAAAATTTTAATGTCTATATTGGTTAAATGTTATTTTAAGTATGAATAAGTCTGATTTTGAGTGTGTCTGAAACAGATATGGACTCATGTTTTCTGAAAAGAAGCTGGAAATGAGGTTCTCAGATTTGTGCAAAGGTATTATAAAGTAATTGAATTAAAATTGGTGTTGAGATCTGACTTCTTAAGCAGACAAAAACACTTGAGACATGAAATTATCATTGGTAAAAATATAGACACTTTTTGGGAACCTTTTTGTAAAACAGCTTGTGAGACTGTGATACAGCCAGGTGAATCTGTTAAGTACTGGTGTAATAAATTAGAATCTCTAAGTTTTGATGATCGTTGTTCTCAAATAGATCAAACTAGTCTTAAGGCAGATAAATGAAAGAATTATCATAAATTAGGATATGCCTTAATCACTTACTTTCTTTAGGAAAAGATGACCTTGCTGGACTAAAGTGAACAGAGATAAACATGGGATAAGGACAATGCACCTGGAACAATGATGTTGAAAGATTTCTCCCCAGGACTATGAGTTTTTTTGTTTGTTTGTTTTGTTTTTTATTTCTGACCAGTAAGGGGATCTTAACTCTTGACTTGGTGTTGTCAGCTCCACGCTCAGCCAGTGAGCTAACCGGCCAGCCCTATATGGGATCCGAACCCGGGGCCTTGGTGTTATCAGCACCACACTCTCCCGAGTGTGGCCGGCCCAGGACTATGAGTTTTAAAAGTGAATTTATTTCCTTTGGGTTATTCTAGAATCTTGGCTTGAGTCATGGCTTCTGAACTCGAGCTAGATAATGGCCTTTCAGTAATTATTCCACCTGAACTTCTTGGGTAAAGTTTTTCTCCAATGAATTCTAAAAAATTGGAGTTCAATATTAAAACCACCAGTGACCAAATAATGCCCCTTCCACCTCCCCACCCCCAACACACTTGGTCTATAGTGTGGCCCTAGTAATATACTTAAAGAATTTTAGAAAATTTCAAGTTTATATTTTCCTGTATTCTCCCACTCATTGCTATTCTCTACTAATTGTATAAGATTTTATCTAAGACACTAGTCGTCAATGACTGCTCCCTAGGAGGATATTATAATTTCTCTTTTCCTTCATTGGGTTCAGGAGATGCTGATGGAGACAGACTAAAATTAATTCCAAAATATTTGGACATAAAAAGGAGTGGTACTGGGCCAGCCTGTGGCTCACTCGGGAGAGTGTGGTGTTGATAACACCAAGGCCATGGGTTCGGATCCCATATAGGAATGGCCGGTTTGCTCACTGGGTGAGTATGGTGCTAACAACACCAAGTCAAGGGTTAAGATCCCCTTACCGGTCATCTTTTTTTTTTTTTTTTTCCCTTTTTGTCTCTTTTTCGTGACCAGTAACGGGATCGCAACCCTCGGTGTCGTGCCCACACCGCGCTCAGCCAGTGAGCAGACCGGCCTCTACATGGGATCCAAACCCTCGGCCGGGAGCGCTGCCGCACTCCTAAGCGCCACACTCTACCGAGTGCGCCACCGGGCCGGCCCTTACCGGTCATCTTTAAAAAAAAGGAGTGGTGCTACTCAGTACCATTACTATCCCCAAATATATTCTACCTGTATGTTTTCATTTAATTATAATGCATAATAATTCTGCCTAAAGTTCTATATGGAATGATACAGTAATAAATCATGAGCTTTATTTTATTAGAAATATGAATAAAATCCAAATATATTTTAGAAAATTAACATTTCTAAAAGTACATCAATATTCTCATATAAACACATTGGTCTAACAAATTACATGGAATATTAAAATTGATTTTAAAAAAGATGATGTTAGAGAACAGAGAAGCTGCTTGCTCAAAAAGAAAAAAAAATAATAAATTTTTAAAATATTAGAACAGTATGAAAAAAAAGGTTTCAAACAGAGTGAAATGGAGGATAATCTATCAAAAAGTTATTTAAAAAATTTTGTCACTAATGTGGCCAACCATTTATATCCCCCACCCAGCATTCGTGTGGAACAATCTTTTACACACCTTAATGACCAGATAGTGGTTAAATGCTCCACTGAAAGGAACCAGGGCTCTTTAACATGTTAGGAGAAGGAAAATTCAAAATAGGCCTGAGACTGCCTGTCCTTAGAAGGGCTTGCTTGCAGGTTTGGCCCTTAGCTGGCAAACCGTTACTTACACTAATACAAAACTTTCCCTAAATGGTAAGAGTGGCTCACTGTGCCTGAACTATTTGTCAAACAGTGTGGTTTATGCTGAACACCTGGCTTTCCTTCTGGGAGTCTAAAATTTGGGTACATGCTAGGCAGAGGGTGTCTATGTGACCGACCCCTGATAAAAACCTTGGGCACTGAGTCTCTAAAGAGCTTTTCTGGTAGATAACATTTTGTATGTGTTGTCATAACGCATTGCAGGGGGGATTAAGTGTGTCCTGTGAGACTCCACTGGGAGAGGACTCTGGGAAGCCTACCCCTGGCTTCCTGCATACCTCACCCTGTGCATCTTTTCCCTTTGCTGATACTGCTTTGTATCATTTCATTGTAATACTTCTTAGCCATTAGTACAACTATATGCTGAGTCCTGTGATACCTCATAGCAAATCACCAAACGTGGGAGTGGTCTTGAGGACCCCCAACATAGCCAGGAATGTATTTTTTCTAAGAAAACAAGTACTGAGGCAGTGTTGGAAGGATACAGGAGGCAGTTTAAAAGTATTTTCACTTGCCAACTTGACAATTCGAGCAACCAAAAGAAAATAATTGAATTAAATGAACTAATAAAAAGTCATGAATATAGAGTTAAACCTAAAAGGAGGAAAATATAAAGGGTTCTAATGAAGAGACACCTATGAGGTTTTTTTAAATGCTATATATTGATCAGCCCAAGTTATATGAACTCTATTCTCAAATTCCAGTAAATATCTAGGTTGATAATCACCAATGGAAGCTAAAATGGAAAAAATAAAACCAGAGTGTTAAATAAATTGAACACTTGCATTGTTTGTTAATTTTCAGTAAAAATGTATTAAAGTCTATAGGCTGAGTACCCAGAAACGGAGTTTTAAAAACCGAGGTAAAAATGAATTGAGGAAAGGGCCGGCCCGTGGCTCACTTGGTAGAGTGTGGTGCTGATGACCACAAAGCCACAGGTTCAGATCCCTATATAGGGATGGCCGGTTAGCTCACCATGGTGCTGACAACACCAAGATAAGGGTTAAGATCCCCTTACCGGTCATCTTTAAAAAAAACAAAAAAGAATTGAGATGGCAGCTAAATGCAACTTTGACACATCATTATAAAACCAAATTATCTTTTTCTCCCATCCCCCAAAATAAAATGATATACTCATTTATACTTGCTGAGGGTTATTTCAGGTAACTAATAATACAGACCAAAAGGATATTTCCAATCATAAATCTTTTTGTAATAAAGTCACCCATTGTTATTGGTGATTTTTTTTTAACCTCATTACTTATATCCATGATATAAAGATTAATCAAATTCAACCTGTTACGTTGCTTAAATGCAATCACCCACAAATTGTTAAAAAATGATGTCTGTCAGATGTATGCATTGCTCAAAACTATTTAAGATTTGGGGCCAGCCCGTGGCTCACTTGGTAGAGTGTGGTGCTGATAACACCAAGGCCACGGGTTCAGATCCTATATAGGGATGGCCGGTTCGCTCACTGGCTGAGTGTGGTGCTGACAACACCAAGCCAAGGGTTGAGATTCCCTTACCAGTCATCTTTATTAAAAAAAAAAACTATTTAAGATTTGAGCATTTCATTATATATAAAACTGACCTCAAAAGACAAAAAATAAATATTGAACTCAAAGTTAATGATACTCATACTGAACTATTTAGAGGGCAATGTATTGATGTTTCTACTGATTTTGAAATATATCAAAAATAGGATAGACTGATGAATGAATGGATGGATGGACAGAGGGATGCAGAGATGGATATATGTGTGATAAAGAAGGATGGTAAAATGTTAGTGGCAGAATCTAGGTACTGGATGTTCACTGTAAAATTATTTCAACTTTTCTGATTGTTTAAAAATGTTCATAATAATATGTTAGAAAAAAAATCAGCATATGGGACCGGGGTTGGGTTGTAAGAGAAGTTCATCTAAGAGATTTCTAGAGGATAAACTTTCTGTGAGCTTCTATCTGGCAAAGAAAAAAACATGTATGAGACTTTTCTGATAGCAAAAGTGAGATGTGAGACAAACAGTACAACTGGACTTTGGCTAGCAGTATTTCCCACACAATATTAAGCAGCTGCCAACCAAAAACTAGGAAGAGTTAATGATAGCTGGCTCCCCAGACCTGGCAAGATCCACATTGCCCAGGTGAGTATCATGAGGGTCCAATGGTTAAATGCACTGTGAGGGGACCAGGCAGACTCCTAGTCCCTTCAGCACTTCTGAAGGGCCATGCATACATTCCCTCAAGCCATTTCCTCCAGTTGAGCATGACTGCTTCCTTTGTCATGTAAGGACATGTTTATTTTACTAAATAGCTGGGTCTCAGTACTTTTGTCAGGGAATGCAATTAATAACCCTTAGATGTGTGGTAGTGGTGGGTGAAGGCAGTGGACAAGGTGATCTCTAAGCTCCCTCTCATATTTAAATGCCTAATGACCCATTCAAAGTTGAGTTGCGGGCTGGCCAGTTAGCTCAGTTGGTTAGAATGCAGTGTTGTAACACCAAGGTCAAGTATTTGGATCCCGTATCAGCTAGCTACCAAAAAAAAAAAAAAAAATTGGTGGGGGCCAAAAAACCAGAGTTGAATTGCTTTGGTTCTGGAATCCCCTAAGCCCTGCTTACTTAGTTCTAAGCCACCTTCTCTGACCAGGAAAGGGAGATGAGGACTGGATAATCTCTTCTCCCACTTACCTTCACTGGGATCTGTAGAAATCTCACTTTCCTGTGGTGCTGCCTGGTTCTCTGTATTATGTTCTCCTTCTCGCTGAATCTGAGATAAGACATCAGGTTGATTCATGGCATAATCTAGAAGAGGAAAAAGGGAGAGCGGATATGACGAGGAAATAAATGAGGATGACAACTAATTGCCATCAAGGCTGAGCTGTAGCTTTGAGGTCCACAGTCCCAGGGACTTTTAGATTCCATATCACTTCTCCCCATCTATTCACCTCCAACTATAAATGGTATCTATTCAGGAAAGCAGGTAAGAGGAGATGCAACATGTGGGGAAAGTACATATGCTAGGTTAGCACCCCCAGCTGCTGCTTCCATTAAGTAGGAGTGACAGTGTGCCCCAAGGGGAGAAGTCAAGCTCCTTTCAAAGTGAAGGATACCCATGGAAACCACCAACTGGCACACCCATAACCCTGAACTTCATTCTCTGTCCGATGATTTGGCAAAAGAAGAGATTATGATTTCCTATTTAGCAAGTGTGAATTGGTCATCTTTGGCTTGGAAACTGACTCTGAAGTGTGTGAGGATAGAATAAGAATGAGGACACTGGCGGAAAAGGGACTGTTGTGAGCTCTCTTGGAGCTGCTGTCACCTCATTCAAGAGGTGCCAACTCAGCCTCACCCATGGAGATGAGAGACTCGTAGTTGCCCTTCATGATATTCTTGTAAAGTTCCTTTTGCCATTCTTCTAATTTTTCCCACTCTGGAGTGGAAAAGTAGATGGAGACATCATCAAATGCCACAGGCACCTAAAATTACAATCACATGAGTTAGTGCCTCCCATTGCAACCCCTTCATTTAACCAATCTTTTTCCCCCAATTAGTTCCTTTTATTATTATTATTATTATTATTATTATTATTTTTGTTTTAAAGATGACCAGCAAGGGGATCTTATCCCTTGGCTTGGTGTTATCAGCGCCACGCTCTCCCAAGTGAGCCAACCGGCCATCCCTATATAGGGATCCGAACCCATGGCCTTGGTGTTATCAGCACCACACTCTCCCGAGTGAGCCAAGGGCCAGCCTAACATTATTTTTTTACACTCTCAAAGAGTTGGCAATAAATATTCTATCTTGGAAACTGCTTCTTTTAATGCTCCACTTGTTATTAGTATAATCCCCAAATCCCAACACTATGCAATACAGCATGTAGCTGGTACCTTTTCTTGAGGCACATTCAAGTGTTTTGGTAAACAGTAATAAAGTATGTAAATGCCACATGTTAAAATGCCAAGCTTTATGGATTTTTTGGTTTTACCCCTTTTGAACTGCCTTTTTCCCAAGAACATCACTCCCCAGGATATCCAAGTTCCTCTAGATGTTTTGTGTTCTTTCTAGTCTTTTGCTAAGTGGATAGTTCCCTTTGATGCTGTTCTTCCTGCATGTGAGGAAGAAAAGTTAGTGCCGTGGTTGATGACTGAAAGCTAACAAGATTAATGTTGGAGGCATGATAGGGACCAAAATTAAACTTCAAAATTCTTTGTATTCTCTGTACATATACCTTAGTCTTATTTGATGCTTTGTATATTCTTCAAATGGGACATTTTGTCTATTTAACACCTGACTTTCTGTTTCCAGTTCTTCTCCTTTTGCCTCCAAGACGTGCACTTTCTCCTGCAATCTCTCCAATTTCTCTTCATGAAGAGAATTCTTCTTTATCTGGGCAGCTGCAGCTCACTGCAGTTTCTCTGTAACTTGATTACACATTTCTTCTCCACAATATGTTCATGAAGCTCATGCTTTTCTTCCAACCACTGTGTCTATTCATCTTCCAATGTATTTTCAACTGGTAGTTCACTTTTTCAGCTTGCTTCTTAAATTTCAGCATTCCTGTTTTAACCTCACCACTATTTCTTTCAGCATTTGGTTTGAATTCAGCAAGTCATTCTCTGACTGTACAAGTAAGGTCACCTGGATCTGCCAACTACTGATTTATTGTTTCAGGTCAGAATTTTCATTTTCGTTTCTCTGCACTTATAATATCCACAATTTATTGTTGAAGCTTTAACCTAATTCCCTGAAGTTCCGTTCTAGCCAACTCTTCTGCCATCTGTGAAGCCCACATCTCTGTTTACACCAATCCTTTTCAGACTGCATCTAGACATCATGTTCCACTTTCATTTTCTCTAAATCTGATAATCTGTTCTCAAATTCTGGCTTTTCATCTTGTAATACCACAAGTTTGATAAACTTCTTCCTTGGAACTGTGTGCTTTATGTATTAATTCATGATACTTTTCTAAGGGCACTTTGTGGTGTTCAATGATTTGAGAATTTCCTGGTCTGAATGTAATCCACCCAATTCACTTTGAATTTTATTTCTCTCTTTCTAGTTCACTCTTCGCATTTGCTGCCTCCAGTTTGATGTCTGTTATTCCTAGTTTGCTTGAATGTCTAAGTTCTTTTACTTTATGTGGCAATGTATTTCTTTCCTTACTCAGCTTTATGCAGTTTACTGATTAAAAAGGTATTTTGTTCATCGCTTAACTGTAGCTTTTTTTCCAAGCATTTAGCCTATAGATTTAGCTGACTTTTTCAGCCTCCAGGGATCTGACTGTAGCCTGCCTCTCATACCTATATTCTTTGGATTTTTGCAGCCCTTAATTCTGCTTCTTCAGCCTCTGAATATTTTAATTCCTGAAATAAATGGAGTTTTTCTTGAACAAGTTGCTCCACTCATTTATTGTCTCTTATAGGTTCGACATTCAGCAGCTGGTTATACAGTTCATCTCTCCCCAGTCTTGTATTCTTTCATTCATATTTTATTTTTTCTTCTAAAATACACACAAATTCTTCTTTTTGGTGTTTAAATTTTGATTTGGGAAATGTATGTTTATAGAAAAGCTTATTATATTCAGCTCTATACTTTTCCACTTCATCCAGATTCCAAAAATTCTCTTATTGGAGTTTCTAATTTTTGTATTTGGGCTCTTAACAATTCCAATTTTTATGGGGTTAATGCCTGAAGCTTCATTTCTTCTAAGTCTTTAGTCTTCTCTATTAATCCCCCTCTAAGCTCTTCAAGCAGCAGCTGAATTTTTTCCTGGTGAGTTTACTTTTCAACAGGCGTTTGAGTTCGTTTTGTGTGTTCAGCTTTCAGAGTCTGATAACCAGCCTCATGATGTTCACATCACTACCTTTCATCAATTAACATTTCTTGGAACTCAGATTGAGAACCTGTCAGCCCACTGTCTCCACTAGGAGGAAGAATACTGGGAAAAGTGTCCATACTGGAAAGTGGACTGACAACCATGTAAAATCAAGTTCTGGCTTTCTTATTGTTTTAGTTTTCTTTCCAAGAGTATTTCCCCCTTCCTTCTTACTAAGGAGGAACCTCGGGAGGCCAAATTATACCAGACTCATACACGAGAGCACATAAAACAGTGACTGGTATTCTAGCCGCACTCGCCATGGGGGTGACCCCTCTTCAGCTCTAACCACGGATACCCACTCAACCCTTCTCACAGAGTCACAAAGGCAGTGGGGTTAAAGGCTGTGGTCCTATAGCTGGGGCGTGGCCCTGCCCACCATGCCTGACAAGCAAAGAGGCAGATCCAAGTGGAGGAGGTGGGGCAAGCAGGCGGAAGAGCAGGGAAGAAGAACTAGGAGAGGAAGTGGGGAAGTCTGAGGGCAGCGCTGAAGAGAAGTCCCTCTCCTTCTTGGTGGACAGGCCGCTGCAGGGGCGCAGGGCCTACATGCCACCTCAGCTCGCCTCCGCCAAGTCCCCTCATTCAATAAATCTTTACTAAGTTACTACTAGTTGCATAAAACTATGTAAGGGACTTAAAAGATACAAGAAAAACTAAAGACACAGTCCAACCTCTAAAAGTTCACCATGTCGTCAACGAGAAAGGTGATAAAACTCAAGGCCTTATCAGTTTTGGGAGGGTGGAGGACATTACTTGTAAACAATCACTCATAGAGATAGTTACAAGTGCAAAGCAGTATTTAATTCACATAACAAAACATTCTGAGTATCTATTAAGCACAAGGTTTTCCCTAGGCACCAAGATTATTAAAATATAGCTTCTGCCCAGAAGAGGCATATGACTACATGCAAATCAATGACACAGACAAGAAATTTTAGAAATAGAGCTACAATGGGGCTGGGATACTCTAAAGAGATAGGATTTTGACTAGACCTAATAGGAATGGAAGAACATTTAAGCAAGGAAAATTAAAGAGTGCTTTCGGAGGACAGTTATGAATTCTGCCTACTTGGGGTCAAGATTTCATGTAGGGAACGGTCATAGGCAGAAAAGAATCCCCCACTTCCTGGTACAGACTGTCTAAAGCTAAGGCACTTATCCCAGCGCAAAAACTGAAAGGTTCTTCTGTAAAGAAATACAAGAGTTATCTGGGGAGATTAAGGTACTCAGTATAGACACTACCACGTAGCATAAAGCTTTCCTCATTCTCCCCTTTAATTGTTCATAATAATGGCTGACTTTTCCTCCTTCCGGCTGGCAGTTTTCTAGTTTTCTTCTTAAATACAAACTAACTCCGAAGTATCAAGGACCATTTAGAACAAGAAAAACTAAAATAAAAGGAGGAAAAAAATGACCATAAAAAAACCCAACCAAATAATTAGGGAATGAAATTTTTTTTTAAATTCTCTAATTAATATTTCGATAAATATATGAAAAGACATTACACCCATAAAATAAAAACAGGATGATATGGAAAAAGAACAATGAGAGAATATAGTGGATTGAATTATGTCCCCCCAAAACTCACTTGAACTTGAATTGTGTCCCCCAAGTTTTATGTATTAGAAACAGCCCCCACTGGGACTGTTAAAAGGATGGGAAATCAAATTATGGTAATCAAAAGGTGGAGCCTTGGATTGTAGGGCCATGCTGTAGTGAATGGATTAAAAATGGTGATCAGGGGCATGGTTCTGAGGGCTTGAAAAGGAGAGAATGTCTGTCTTTCTCTCGGTTCTCTCTGCTTCCACCATCTTGCAATGTGAGACCCGTAGGTTACTGTCACCACCCCCAGATGGACTTTGGACTTCCCAGCCTCAGAAACTGTAAGCAAATAAACTTCATTTTCTTTATAAATTACCCAGTTCCACGTATTTTGTTATAGCAACACAAAACGGATTAATACAGAGAACAAGAGACTCCTGATAACTAATATATATATATATATATATATATTTTTTTTTTTTTTTCCAAAATAAAAAAATTCAGTGAAAGGATTGGAGGATAAAGTCATGATGACCTGTCATAAAATACAGAACAAAAAGACAGACAAAGAAAAGATGAGAGAAAAAAATAAAGACAAAGATTCAATCCAGGAGGTTCAATACCTAATAAGAGTTTCAGAGGGGCTGGCCAGTTAGCTCAGTTGATTAGAACAAGGTGTTATCACACCAATGTCAAGGGTTAGGATCCCCATACCAGCCAGCTGCCAAAAAGACAAAAAACAAAACAAAACAAAAAAACCCATAAAAAGAATTCCAGAAAGTGAGAACAAAGGAAATGAAGAAGAAAGTATTTTTTCAAATAAGAAGCAAAAGAAAATTTCCCAGAACACAAATCCCTCAGAGTACACTGAACACCTAGCCCAATAAATGAAAAAAAATCCATATTTATGGATTTAATATTATCGTTATGAGATTTCATATTATCAAGTATAAAAAGAAGATTCCAGAAGCTTCAGAGAAAGTTTACCTACAAAGGATCAAAAATCAGATTACTCAACAACACTGTATACTGAAACAATGAAGGAATGTCTCAAAATTT